GGCGATTCCGAAATCCGACGGACCGGAATAGCGAAAATCGTCAATGTCGGCCGCGTCGGAATGTCACGTAGAAGGTTTTCTTTTTTTTTCCTTTTCAGGCCGCCAAAATTAGGTCGAATCGGCCGATTTCCGTAGATCTATCACTAATACACACATCCCCCCACACACCACCCTCGGCTTCGCGGCTACACGGCTGCTCTGCTTCGCGGCTACACGGCTGCTCGGCTGCGCTGCTGCACCTGTTCAGCTGCGGGAAGGGGGAAGGGGTAGGAGTGCAGATGCGGGGCGACGGGCGGCAGCCCGACGTGAAGCTGCGGGGCGACGGGCGGCGGCCCGACGAGAAGCTGCAGGGCGACGGGCGGCAGCCCGACGAGAAGCTGCGAGGCGACGGGCGGCGGCCCGACGTGAAGCTGCGAGGCGACGGGCGGCGGCCCGACGAGAAGCTGCGGGGCGACGGGCGGCGGCCCGACGAGAAGCTGCGGGGCGACGGGCGGCGGCCCGACGTGAAGCTGCGAGGCGACGGGCGGCAGCCCGACGAGAAGCTGCAGGGCGACGGGCGGCAGCCCGACGAGAAGCTGCAGGGCGACGGGCGGCGGCCCGACGAGGAGGAAAGCGAGCGTTAGGTTATAGCGCGGACGATGCGCTTACCAGATAAATTACCGTCGAAAGTGACGGGAAGGTGCAGCGGGAAAATTTCCGCCGACGAATGTCGCGAATCACCGGCGACGAGGTTGACGATGGCTTCGCCGAGGTTTGCGGGACGAGTATCCGCAGAGGTAAGAAGATCACGATCCGCGTATGCGGTTGAAGGGCTCTGATACCATGTCAGAAATAGGCTTAGAAGCGATGCATTAGTAATGAGCTTGAAGCTCTTTAAGTACATCCAAGAGGGGTAGGAAAAGGATGGGGAAGGGAATCGGGGGCAATCTCTAGGGATTGGGGGTAATCCCAAGGCAATCTCCAATTGGTGGGTTGGAGATTGGTTGGAGATTACATTTGGGTTTGGTTGGGATGTAGGTGTACACCCAACCAAACACAATGTGCAAACTACACTACTCTAGGATATAGAAAATACAAAGTACAAATTGTGAGATTGAAGACTAACACTAACACCCCCAAAGGACTATGTCCCTACCCTTGGCGGCCCTTCCCCACCTCTCCTCAGCGGCTACAGTGACTCCTCCTGGGCTGACTCCCGACCAAAGTCGCTCCTCCCAGGGCTATGGCTTCTCTCTTGGCAGCGGCCTCATCAGCTGGCGTTCCACGCGCTCCTCGGCTATCGCCACCATGGATGCACAAGAGGCTCGCTGGCTCTCCTTCCTTCTTGAGGAGCTTGGTGCTCCCAAGCGCTGTCCCACCATTTGGTGTGACAACGCCAGCACCATTCACCTCACGAAGGATGCTGTGTTTCACGGGCGCTCCAAGCACATTGAGCTCCGTCATTTCTTCATTCGCGATCTTGTTCAGGCTGGGCACCTTCGGCTCGATAAGGTTGACTCGGCGGCAAACCTTGCCGACATCTTCACGAAAGCTCTTCCGCATGCGGCTCACTCTTCACTGATTCGTCTCCTTGGCCTTACTCCTCCAAAGTTGGTCTCCACTTCTTGATTATAGCCTTCTAGCCTTATGCATGTTGGGGGGTTGTGTTGTAATTCCATAGTTTATATAACATGCATAGGCTAGACTTAGATGTGTAGCACTCTAATAAATTGAGGGGTTGTTTAGTGTACCCTCCAACCACATTTTGTGGTTGGTGGGGATTGGTCCTTACCTCAACCAATCCCAACCAACACACATTTTGTGGTTGCTTGGGCCACAAGCAAGCTCACCCATTGGCCAACTTATTGGCCAATAGGGTAAGCTTCCCTCTCATCTCTCTCTTGCTCATTGCTTGTACTAAAGAGCCTTTTGGCTCATTATTCAGTGTATCAATTCTTCTTTCTCACAAACCCCGCAATGCCGTAGCATCCCATTCACAAATGCTCCATTGTGCATTGCCCCTGTGGCCACCGCGTTCCACCACTTCCCACCTCACCACATGGCACCGCACCGCGCAGGGCGGACATCATTCGAGACCAGAAGACGGGCGACAGCCTCTGCTACGGCTTCATTGGTGCGGGGCATGGCGATGGGGCGGGATGATGGGGCGTGGTGATGGGTGGTGGTGATGGGTGGTGGTGATGGGGCATGGTGATGGGGTTGTGATGGGGCAAGATGGGGCATGATGGGGCATGATGGGGCATGATGTGGCAAGATGGGGCATGACGGGGCATGACGGGGCATGACGGGGCATGACGGGGCATGACGGGGCATGACGGGGCATGACGGGGCATGACGGGGCATGACGGGGCATGACGGGGCATGACGGGGCATGACGGGGCATGACGGGGCATGACGGGGCATGACGGGGCATGACGGGGCATGACGGGGCATGACGGGGCATGACGGGGCATGACGGGGCATGACGGGGCATGACGGGGCATGACGGGGCATGACGGGGCATGACGGGGCATGACGGGGCATGACGGGGCATGACGGGGCATGACGGGGCATGACGGGGCATGACGGGGCAGGACGGGGCAGGACGGGGCAGGACGGGGCAGGACGGGGCAGGACGGGGCAGGACGGGGCAGGACGGGGCAGGACGGGGCAGGACGGGGCAGGACGGGGCAGGACGGGGCAGGACGGGGCAGGACGGGGCAGGACGGGGCAGGACGGGGCAGGACGGGGCAGGACGGGGCAGGACGGGGCAGGACGGGGCAGGACGGGGCAGGACGGGGCAGGACGGGGCAGGACGGGGCAGGACGGGGCAGGACGGGGCAGGACGGGGCAGGACGGGGCAGGACGGGGCAGGACGGGGCAGGACGGGGCAGGACGGGGCAGGACGGGGCAGGACGGGGCAGGACGGGGCAGGACGGGGCACGACGGGGCACGACGGGGCACGACGGGGCACGACGGGGCACGACGGGGCACGACGGGGCACGACGGGGCACGACGGGGCACGACGGGGCACGACGGGGCACGACGGGGCACGACGGGGCACGACGGGGCACGACGGGGCACGACGGGGCACGACGGGGCACGACGGGGCACGACGGGGCACGACGGGGCACGACGGGGCACGACGGGGCACGACGGGGCACGACGGGGCACGACGGGGCACGACGGGGCACGACGGGGCACGACGGGGCACGACGGGGCACGACGGGGCACGACGGGGCACGACGGGGCACGACGGGGCACGACGGGGCACGACGGGGCACGACGGGGCACGACGGGGCACGACGGGGCACGACGGGGCACGACGGGGCACGACGGGGCACGACGGGGCACGACGGGGCACGACGGGGCACGACGGGGCACGACGGGGCACGACGGGGCACGACGGGGCACGACGGGGCACGACGGGGCACGACGGGGCACGACGGGGCACGACGGGGCACGACGGGGCACGACGGGGCACGACGGGGCACGACGGGGCACGACGGGGCACGACGGGGCACGACGGGGCACGACGGGGCACGACGGGGCACGACGGGGCACGACGGGGCACGACGGGGCACGACGGGGCACGACGGGGCACGATGGGGCAGGGTGGGGCATGATGGCGATGCTGCTGTGTATGGAGCAACGATGAGACACTGCCTTGCAATCGTTGCCATTTCCTTGTCCTGTCTATTCCTCCTCTCTCCTTCCCCCCTCTACCTTCTTCTCTCCCTTCCCTCTCCCTTCGTCTCTTCCCCACGTCTTCCCTCTTCTCGTCTCCCCTTCCTCCTCTCCCTTCGTCTCTCCCTTCGCTTCAACAACTTCTCTCTATCTCCCTCGCCCTTCTTTCTCTCCCTCCCCCTCTCGTCTTTCTCTCCCTCCCCCTCTCGTCTTTCTCTCCCTCCCCCTCACCCTTTGTGCAGAGTTTGAAACAAAGGAGGCGTGTGAGGCAGCTTACTTCAAGGTGAATACTTCACCTCCCTGTGCCTCCCTGCTCCTTGCTCCTTGCTCCTTGATCCTTGATCCTTTGTTCTGTGACCCTTGCTTCTCAATCCTTCCTTGCACGTTGCTTCTAAATCCTTGCTCCTTGCTCATTAGCATTGTTGGAATGAAGGTGAATTCATGACCGTCTCGTGTTCATTGCAGTGGGACCATCGCATCGGAGCTTGCTGCTTCCCATCCCCACCATCAACAAACCTCTTTCCAGGAACCCACTCCATCCATTCCCCCTGTCGCCCAATGGAACCCACTCCATCCATTCCCCCTGTCGCCCAATGGAACCCACTCCATCCGTTCCCCCTGTCACCCAATGGAACCCACTCCATCCATTCCCCCTGTCGCCCAATGGAACCCACTCCATCCATTCCCCCTGTCGCCCAATGGAACCCACTCCATCCATTCCCCCTGTCGCCCAATGGAACCCACTCCATCCATTCCCCCTGTCGCCCAATGGAACCCACTCCATCCATTCCCCCTGTCGCCCAATGGAACCCACTCCATCCATTCCCCCTGTCGCCCAATGGAACCCGCTCCATCCATTCCCCCTGTCGCCCCCCTCCCCTCCTCCTTCCCACCATGCGCCCTGCCTGCTGCCCCCCCTGGAGAGCAGATGGACGGGGTGCTGATCGACGACCGCCGCGTGCACGTGGACTTCAGCCAGAGCGTCGGCCGCCTCTGGTCTCGCTTCCGCCGCTTCGCCACCTCCGACTCCGCCGCTGCTGCCGCAGATGACGGCGCTGCTGGTGGCGGGAGGGGAGGGAGAGGAGGTGGAAGGGGTCGAGGTGGTGGTGGTCGCGGTGGCATGCGGTCGTGCTTCAGCTGCGGGGAGGAGGGGCACATGGCTAGGGAGTGTCCGAACGCGGGTAGAGGGAGAGGGGGGACGGGTGGGGGCAGGGAGGAGGACGAGGAGGAGGCAGACGGGGGGCAGGGCGGGCAGAGGCGGTTTGAGCTGAAGGAGTTGGGGCACGGGCAGCGGGGCGAGCAGGGCAAGAGGTGAGCAACGCAAGAGGTGGGCAATGCAAGAGGTTATACAGTGCATCAAGGAGGTTATACAGTGCATCAAGGAGGTTATACAGTGCATCAAGGAGGTTATACAGTGCATCAAGGAGGTTATACAGTGCATCAAGGAGGTTATACAGTGCATCAAGGAGGTTATACAGTGCATCAAGGAGGTTATACAGTGCATCAAGGAGGTTATACAGTGCATCAAGGAGGTTATACAGTGCAACAAGGAGGTTATACAGTGCATCAAGGAGGTTATACAGTGCATCAAGGAGGTTATACAGTGCATCAAGGAGGTTATACAGTGCATCAAGGAGGTTATACAGTGCATCAAGGAGGTTATACAGTGCATCAAGGAGGTTATACAGTGCATCAAGGAGGTTATACAGTGCAACAAGGAGGTTATACAGTGCATCAAGGAGGTTATACAGTGCATCAAGGAGGTTATACAGTGCATCAAGGAGGTTATACAGTGCAACAAGGAGGTTATACAGTGCATCAAGGAGGTTATACAGTGCATCAAGGAGGTTATACAGTGCATCAAGGAGGTTATACAGTGCATCAAGGAGGTTATACAGTGCATCAAGGAGGTTATACAGTGCATCAAGGAGGTTATACAGTGCATCAAGGAGGTTATACAGTGCAACAAGGAGGTTATACAGTGCATCAAGGAGGTTATACAGTGCATCAAGGAGGTTATACAGTGCAACAAGGAGGTTATACAGTGCATCAAGGAGGTGCTAGATGATCAGAAGCCAAGGTGCATATGGGTGGTGTTGGGTGGTGACACAGGGCGGGGACAGGTCCAGTGAAGTGGTGGAAGCCCACTGCCTTCTCCATGCGCGCGTTGACAGCTGCAGTGCCTATTCCTTGCATCAATCGCTTAAGCATTCCCAGCTGCTCGGCCGTGCTCACAAGTGCTGATCCTCTCTCTACGACCCTCCCCTCTGTCCCTCCCACCTTCCCCTCTATCCCTCCCACCCTCCCCTCTGTCTCTCCCACCCTCCCCTCTGTCCCTCCCACCCTCCCCTCTGTCCCTCCCACCCTTCCCTCTGTCCCTCCCACCCTCCCCTCTGTCCCTCCCACCCTCCCCTCTGTCCTTCGCACCCTCCCCTCTGTCCCTCCCACCCTCCCCTCTGTCCCTCCCACCCTCCCCTCTGTCCCTCCCACCCTCCCCTCTGTCCCTCCCACCCTCCACTCTGTCCCTCCCACCCTCCCCTCTGTCCCTCCCACCCTCCACTCTGTCCCTCCCACCCTCCCCTCTGTCCCTCCCACCTTCGCCTGGCAGCTACGAGTTTGTGTTTGACGGGGAGGAGGAGGGGGACGGCAGGGCGGAGGGCGAAGGGGGGTGGAGTGTGCATGGTGGTGTGGCGAGGAGGAGGGAGGGGAGGGAGGGAGAGGGAAGGCGGCGTGGAGAAGGTGATGGGGCTGCTGCTGGCAGTGTGGATGTGGCTGCTCTCACGGCCGACGCCCTTGCTCGTGCGCGGGCGATTGCTGCACGGGTGACTGCAGGGAGAGAGGGGCGAGGAGGTGGAGGAGAGGGAGGAGCAACACATGGTGTGCCGAGGAGCGATGGGAAGAGAGAGAGGAAGAGGAGGTGAGATACGGAAGCAGAGGGAGAGAGAGGAGCGAACCGTGGTGGAGAGGCAGAAGAGGAAAGGGGGGGTGTGAGGAGGGAGAGGGATGGGGAGAAAGGAAAACAGTGGAAGGAGGAAGAGAAGATTGTGAAGGAAGCTGACGAGGGAAGGAAGAAGTGGGGAAGGAGAGACATGGAAGCGGATAGAGAGCATGAGGAGGAGATGATGAGGGAGAGGAGAGGTGTCAAAACAGTGAGGGTGGACGATGGGAGGAGAGGGCGTGGAGCTTCTGACAGCGAAGAGGAGGAGCATCGAGGACGAGGGGAGGAGAGGCGAGGGAGGTCAGATGGAGGCAGTCGGGACAGGCGGCGTGGGGATGATGGGCGAGGCAGAGAGGAGGATCACTATCGGAGGGAGGAGGACCGTGAGAGAGGAAAAGGGGTTAAAAGGAAGAGGAGAGACGAAGAGGGAGAAATGAGAGTGAGGGTTGAAGAGGGGAGAAGAGGGAAGGATGAAGAGGAGCATGTGGAGGGAAGCAGGAGAAGGGGAAGGCACAGTGGTTATTCGAGGGATGAAGATGCGAGTCCAGCAAGGGAGAAGGGGAGGAGCGAGAGGAGGGAAGAAGGTGAGCGTGAGTCAACAAAGTGGTGTGATAGTGAGAGGAGGAGCAGAGAAGAGGACAGGGAGGTAAAAAGGAGTAGGGAGGAAAAAAGACAAGGAAGGAAGAGAGTTTGGAGGGCTGGAGGAACGGAGATGGGAGCAGGGACAGCATGAGGCACAGCAGGGAAAGGTATGGCATTCGGCATGAAGGAGAGAGGAGCATGAGGGTGGATGATTGGGATGATGTGCCCCGGGGGATGAGACAAGAGAAGATAGGTGGAATTGAAGAGAGTAAGGAGAGAGGGGATGGACGAGGAGAGAGGAGACAGGTTAAGCGGAATGAGGGAGCAAGGGGACGAGAAGTGAGAAGTGAGAAGAACGAGTAAGGGAAGATAGGATTGGGCATTCAATGAGGTGACACTGGTGTTGAGAGCAAGCAAAGCAATTTGAAAGCATTGCGTGTTAAGGGTTACTGGATGTGGTCAACATTGTTTAGAAGATGTGCATAACGTGGTTGACTCTGCTCCAATCAGAAGTTGATCGTAACCTAGGATCGTCCCAGGAAGGTTCCGCAGAGTCGTGCAGTTGGTGGTGGGCCCTTGACCTCAATTCAAAGAGAATGTAAAATGACTGAGACAATAAAAACATGCAAACATGAGCATATAAAAGCGTGTTCCTACGGCCTCATCAGGCAACCTCGTACCGTATTCCCCCGGATAAAACACCCACCCCGAATTGTACACCCAAGGGTAGCTTGTGCGGGGTGGGTGTTATATTCGACCCCGTTAGTACTATTCCCCCCCTTTTGGGGTGATTTTCCATAACACCCCCCTTTTCATATACCGTACATTTCTTATTATTATAGCTGATAACGAGGGCGTGCAAATATGCGAGGACGCGAAATTCCCTCCCTCTACGAAATCACATGGAACTTTCAGATGATACCGTATCTGCCGAGATTCCCCCCCTCCCACAATTTCGCTGTCGCCACGCTGGCGAATCTTTCATTGTCAAGTGGCCACACAGGTGCCACATGCCATCTTCAAGGTGGTCAAGATAGAACTTGCCGAAACTCGCGTTCCGTCTCTGAGTGTGCTGGTTAACCAACCTCGAAAACACCAAAGCTCTTTATTTATCAAAATCCTTATATTAAAAAAATGCCATATGAATAGATCCGGGTATTATACAGGATTTTCCGTTGAGGAGACCCCCCCCCCCCCCCCCCCCCCCCCCCATTTTTTCCCAGTGGTTATCATAACACCCTAGGGTGTTTTATCCGGGGGAATACGGTATCACATTCGTGTCGAACCGCGCTAAATCGCATCCAACCGCGTTCGAACACACTAAATCGTATTTCACCACGCGAAGCTGATACGAGGTGTTTCTGATACGAGGTGTAGGAACACGCTTTAAGTAATATTACAGGGGAATACGAAACGACCTAGCTAGCCATGTACTACATTCCCTTATTTGAATTCAAACCCAACCGTGCGACTCGAACAGTTACGAAACTGTTCCCGCCAATTCCTTTGCCCTTGCAGCTGCCGATGCCATTTCATGACGACGGTCCAGATGCATCCAACTGTCTGCGTTGCTTCGAGTCACTTCTGTCTCTTCGTTCTTCCAGGCTTCGATACTATGTGACTCATTTGCTGCTGTCAGGAGTGCACAGTTCTTCTCTTAATTCACCATTCGTAACACCCCCCTTCACTCCTGACCGTAGCTCGACTTGACCTGCTTGACCACTCCGCTGAGTTCGGAGCAGTGCTGGTACTGCTGCCGTGGTAGTCGCTTTGTTAGGAAGTCAGTTGCCATGGCACCTGTCGGGCAGTAGGTCAAGTCCACCTTCCCTTTGTCCACTTCATCCTTAACGAAGAATGTCAAATGTTGTAGCCTATAGTGAGGTTTGTCTTAGGGGGTACAAAACTTAGGGTTAGCTATATGTACCCCAACCAACATCAATGCATCATCCATTCTTCATTCTGACATGGTATCAGTTAGGTTAGGATCCTGTGGGATCCCGTTCCGCCGTTCTCCGTTCGTACCACCCGAGCCTGATCCTAGCTCTCGTTCGTCTCCTTCTCGTTGTTACCGAGCCTAGCGCCGAGCCACGCTCTCGTTCGTATCGTTCCAGCTGTTACCGAGCCTAGCAACGACCCACGCTCTCGTTCGTAGCGTAGCCCGCCCCCCCGTCGCGTCGCCTTCCCCCCCCCTCGAGTCGCGCCCGTCCCTTTCCCCCTGTCGCGTCGCGCTCCCCCCGTCGCGTCGCGTCCGCTCCTTCCCCCCGTCGCGTCGCCTTCCCCCTGTCCCGTCGCGCCCCCCTTTCCCCCCGTCGCGTCGCCCTCCCCCTGTCCCGTCGCGCCCGCCCCTTCCCCCCGTCGCGTCGCCCTCCCCCTGTCCCGTCGCTCCCGCCCTCTTCCCCCATCGCGTCGCCCGTCCCCGCAGCGCCCGCCACTGTCGCTCGCGACCGCGCTCGTCGCCGCCGCGCCTGCCGCCGTCGCCCGCCCCCTGCGCGCCTCGCCGCGGCCCCGCCGTCGTCGCCCGCCGCTGCGCGCGTCGCCGCTGCGCCCCCTGCCGTCGCCCGCTGCGCGCGCTGCTGGCCCCTGCTGCCGAGCGCGCTGCCGTCGCCCGCCGCTGCGCCCGTTCCCGTTCCCCGCTGCTTAGTCCCCTGTTACCTCCCGCTGTCACGCCCGCTGTGGCGTCCGCTCCTCCCCTGTCCCAGAGTACCGCCGAACCCTAATTTGCCTCTCACCTACTGCTGTCCCCTCCCTCTCCGTTCGCGTTCGTTTTCACTATGGCGACTCAGCGTGTCCTTCGTTTCGACGCTGACGGTAGACCTCTTGATTTTTCCGTCTGGCTTCTTCGTGCTCGCCGTCTGTTAGAGAGTCAGGTCCAGGCAGGCGAGACCCTCTGGGCGCACGCTACTGGTGCCCTACCTGCGCCCCCCGACCCTACGCCTTTAGGACCTGCCCCTGACGACGCCGCTAGAGCCCGCTTTGCCACTCAGCGAGCTGACCAGACGGCTTGGACGTCGCGTGACGCTGCGGCCTGCATCGCGCTCAGCAGCCTCCTCCCTGAGTCTGAGGAGGTTCACTTCACTCAGGTTCGCACCGCTGCTGAGTACCTCACTGCGATTAAGGCCCGCTACTCTACTCCCGCTACTGTCTCTCTTGGCCGCCTGTTCCTCCCGTTCCTGTTTCCTGACCTAGCGTCTTTTGAGCGCTCTGCTGACTTGATCGCTCACCTCCGCTCGCTCGACGCTAGTTACCGCGCTGCTTGCACTGAGGCACAGCTTGCACTGCTTCCTCCCCCTATGGCGATTACTATCTATTTCATCGCCACTAGCCTCCCTGACCGCCTTGCCTCCGTTCGCGACGCGCTTCTGCTGAAGCACCCTAGTGAGCTCACCGTCGAGGTCCTTGAGTCTGCACTCAAGGACGTCGAGAGCAACCTTCGCTCGGTAGCCGCTGCCTCTGGTGCTGTGCCCCCCCCACTCTTCCACGGGTGCACAGTCCCGCAGTTACCCACCTTTACTGCCTCACTTGCCACTGCCGCTACTGACGCGACTGCAGCTGCTGTTACGACTGACTGCATCGCGGTCCCGCGGTAGGAGTGGCAAGAAAGGCGGTTCTGGTGGTGGTAGTGGAGGTGGAGGCGGAGGTAGTGGAGGTGGCGTTGCGCCTGGCGGCGGTGGAGGTTCAGGGCCTGGAGAGGCGCCTCGTGCAGTGACTGGTGACTCCACTGCGCCTGCTGGTGGTGGCAACGTCCGAGTTCGTCAGTCGTCTCCTGTACTTCCTGCCCCGGTTGGTGGAGCAGCGGCGTGGTACCAGGCTCAGCGTCAGCAGCAGCTTCAGCAGCAGCAGCAGCAGCAGCCCCTCTCCTCCCAGCAGCCTCAGCAGCAGCAGCGGCAGCAGCTGGCTCCAGGGTCGGGGCTGCGTCAGACCCAGCGCGGTGCTGCTTACACTCCCTGCACCTACCAGGTTCTGACAGGCACTCGTCGTGGCCACCCTTGTGGCCGGTTTCACCCCCCTGGTCAGTGCTTTGCTCAGCTCACTGACACGGTTCGTTTGGTCTACGGGGTTGGTGCTCCTGCCCCTGACTGGCTGCCTCTTGTTCAGCGTTACGGCTC